CTAAAGATAAATGGCTTTGACAACTTGCCTTAAATAATCTGGCAAGTGAATCTCCTTTCTTTATTCATTAGGGATATTTGCACCTGAATAGCCTCTTTGTTTCTTGGGATTTCAGTTCTGAGCCCAGGCAGGCAGGGTAGGGGAATCACAGGGCTAGGGGCTCTAGAGGCAAGGGATGGTGGCCGGGTTGCCAATTGAGATGTGCCACCGAGCTCTAGAGATGCTCCTGGGTCAGGAGATGGCTGAGCTGGTGCGAATTGGTGCGTCCCAGCCTTCCTCTGCCTCCAGAGACCTCTCCACCTCAGAGGTGTCTCAAGGCTGAGGTCGGGAGAATTTTCCTCAGACCACACAGGAAGAGGCCAAGCATCTGGAGTCAGACTGCTCTAAGATCACTTCCTGGCTTCTGCAGGAACTAGCTGAGTGGCTGCAGACAAGTGCTGTCCTCGCTCACTTGCTCGACAGTCTGTCAAGACAGGGATGCTAAGAGGAAAGGCAGACTCACAACATGGCTGGCAGGAGGTGATGGAATTAATGCTGCAGAAAGCTTTGCTGATACACAAGCAAGGCTTGGGGAAGGTGGGCGTTGTCAGGGCACTGCCTGGCCACGGGGCTGTTAGGGACCCCTCACAGGCAAGTACTCTGTGAAACGAAGGCCAAAGGAAGAAGAGTGCCACTCAGCGCTGTGCTAACTGAACTTCTTAGAATCTTTGTTAACATTTGCCAAAGGGTAGTAAAGCTCCTTTAACATCCCCCTGATTGTTGGGATTTCATTCATTTTCTTGCTTCACCACCTTCTTGTCCTGAACATATATTTGCTTATGTATCTGGCAAGACAAAACAAAATGAAACGAAACAAAACAAAACAGCTTCTACACCTATTGACTACATTTGCATCATTTTGTTATATGAGCATGAAAGATTTAAAAAGAAAGTATCCAGATCACACATATTTTAAGTTTAAAATAACTGAAAAACAAAAAACAAGAAAATAAGTTGATATAATACAAAACTCAGCAGGCTTTGATTTTCTGCCACAAAGCTATTAAAAAAATAATTAAGACATGAACAGCAAACTGATTCTATGAATAAATCAGAGCTATCAAAGGCACATGTTTGCTTTTGGATTATGATGAATGTAAATTTAGACATGAGCTATGGGCTTGAGTTGTTAATTGCACTAAACCTGAGCTCTAATCAGGTGCCAGGGCAGGCTGGGCTGGGGCTGTGCAGAGCAGGCCAGGGGTGCATTGGCCTTTGCCTCTGCCAGGCTGGTGTCCTTTCTTTTCCCTCTCAGCTACACCGAGGATTAGACTTAGTAGGTAGGGCTGGATGCCATGAATTCATAGCAAAGGAGATCACTAGAGTCTTCAGACCCCACAGGAAAACCCCATCAGGAACTGAAATGCCCATTACTTGGTTCCATTTGCAAGGTTAAGCCATCTCATGGGACATCAGGCAGATTTGGGTTGCTTTATTTCCAATTAAATTCTGAGATGCTTGCACTCCAGTTTTGCTCCAGGAAGAACTCAGTTATGTCTATACATGTCCTTAAACTCTCTCCCAGTAATAAGCTGCAGAGCCAGGAGCCAGTGCTCCTAAAGCCACAGCAAATCATTAAAATGCTTATTGATAAGTGTTCCAAAACATCACCATTATAGCAGACTAAATACAACGGCATCTGAGACGCAAACAGCTTGTAGTGGAAACATGTTAATATTAGGAAATTTTGCAGTTTGCTTTCAAACACTAGGTTCAGACACATGCCAGGCCCCAAGTCCCTCCCTGAGTGTGGGCACCACAGCCTGACCCCTTGGTGACTTCAGTCCCACCTGTCAGCCCCTCTAGGGAGGCAGTGACAGGATCAGAGTGGATTTGAGCTGGAAAGGCCAACCCTCAAAGAGAGGCTCATCAGATCGCCACCCCCACAACTCCACAGGGGCCTCTAACCAACCCAACCTTGGCATGAGCAGCTGCACAGAAAAAGCTGTGGCAGGGTGGTCGGCATCTGCTCAGAAGTGGGACACCACCCTGAGAAGAGGCAGGGTGCACCATTCCCTGTGGATACTTCCAGGTGGTGGGGCAAGAGAAGAGGGGGCTTCTGTGCCCGTACCCTCTTGCCTTCAACTCTATCATCTTTTACATAGGGGAAGGAACCTTGGCCCTGGTTCTTATTGCAGCTTGGCCACTCCCCATGTGGCTCCCAGCACTTCTTACCCTTGTGGAGGGTAGGGTAGGAGTCTCCATTTTCCCAGGTGTAAAACCCTATCACAATTTGCCAGCCACAGTTTTCACGAGCCTTTCCTGCCCTTTGCTTATATTGATCCTCACATAAACAGCACCAATAGCCACGTGAGTATACTGAGTGAGACTATGTAAGCTGAGGGTGTGGTGTGGTATGAGTATGGTGACTCCCACGCTCCCTGGCAGCCACTCTCAGGCATCTCAGGCCAACGGGTGAGGGCCACACCCCAGCAGGCTCCCACCCTTGGCAGCCTTGGCTCGATCTGTGACTACCGATTATTTCTCACTTTCCAGGCTGGAACTCAACCAACTCTTTTTATCCAGAGTTTCACGATGGTCTCTGAAGGGTTAAAATATAAATAGCAATTTCTAACCACACTAACAAATAGATGAAGCTAAGCACACATTTTATCAGCTGTCCTCATGGCCCCTCAGTGTACCCGTCTTCCTGCCCGCCTCACTAATGTGCCCACCACTTTCTCTGGGCACGCTCACATTCTGCAAAGGCTGGGAGACAGGCTGGCCAAGTGGGTCTAAAAATAAAATGAACAAGAGGCAGAAAACAAGCTACCATCACCTAAGTGAAGGACGGCATCTGCCAGGGGATAAACCTTCAGGCCCATAGTGGGTTTTCTCCAAGGGGCTATGGTCTCCTAGGCTCTCTGAGGTGTGCACAGACTGCTGTTGTCCTGGGGGAAGGACAAGCTGGGCTAGTCCCCTTTATTATCCCCCTTGTTGGGGAGCGCTGGGAAAGGAGGTAACAGAACAGGGGTATTCCAAGGCTGGGTCTGCCCCATCTCATCCCCTCCATGAGCGTGGTCTCCCGTGCCCGGGCAGTAGGCAGCAAGAGCTGATGCAGGGTGACCCCAGGGACCCCGGCATGCCTTGAGCCTTAAGCGGGTCAGTCCCTGGGAGCCTGTGGGAAGGACAGGGGGGCCTCTCGGGTCAGGCAGGCCCACACAAACTGCTGACAAGTAGGGAGACCCAGGCCCACAGGAGGCAGAGCTGTGTCCAAGGTCACTGGCAAGTCAGGGCCCCTGGGGGGGTGTCCCTGAGTCCTTAGCCAGAGCTCTCAGCAGGGTCTCCCCAGGTGCTCTGGGCTCTGGAGGACCCGGCAGCTCTGCCCAAGGTCCTCAGAAGGAACCAGTTTAATGCTGGGGTCAGAGTGGGAAAATGTCCCACCTGCTTTGGGTGACTCTGAGTCCTTCTCCAAAGCTCACCTGGTGAAGGTGGCGTCTGCCTGATGCACACTGTCCCCAGGAGCACGAGACGCATCTCAGAAACAGCGACCTTGGCCCCAGTGGTGGCCGATGGAGCTTTCCCTGTGGATGTCCAGGGTAGCCATGGACCTCCCTCCCCCTCCCTCCCCCTCCTTCCCCTTCCCTCCCTTTGTCCTTCCATCCCTCCCTCCTTCCCAGGCTGTCAGGGAGTTGCAGGGATGGGGCCTGGGCTCTGGGTCCCTTTGGGACTCCTGCCTGAATGTCTATCTGTCTCCCATAGCTCTTCGAAAGAGTGGGCTCCTCCCCACAAGCTGGAGGGCTCTGCCATTTGCAAGCTGGTGGCTTTCTCAGCTACCCCTGTTGTGGGGCCACTCTGCAAAGAGAGCAGGTGGGAGATCAGTCACAGACCCACAGGCAAGTCCCTGCCTGGCTAGGACATACACGGGACTGATATGACCCTGGGCTCTGGGGACAGAACCCTGCCTTACCACAGCACAGACGTGGGTGGTTCTGTGTCTCCAACATAGTGGGGATGCACTACAGAGACACGGCATGTAGTCCAGGCTGTCCCCTCCCTGATGCCGACCTTGCCATTGCTGTCAGATGCCATGAGGGCCATCATTGTCATTATTGCCATGGAGGGCCAAGAGGAGCAGGAGCCACTGTGGGGGCAGAAGTCTGCTGGGGCAGAGGGCGGGCCTTGGAGAGCGACACCTCCATGTGACTAGAATGGAGCTAGAGGATGAGGACACATCAGCAGACAGAGGCCAGTCAGGCCCCGGACCCCTCTAAGAGCAGGTGGCTAGAGGTCCTCAAAAAAGCCAGGGAAGCCCAGAAGCCCCCAGTTTAGAGCTCCAGAGATTGAGAAGAGTTTGGTGAAACCAGAAACTACCGTGTGGTCCTGGTGGCCCTGGCACCAGAGGAAAGGCTGGGGTTGAGGAGGAGACTGCCACTCCCTCAGCTCTAGACTTATGTATACAACAATATATGTATATAACACATATACAACCTACATATACAACAGCCTACTGGATATGTCCACTGGGATATTCAAACCAACTGTGGTAAAACCTGGACTTCAGTCTCTGCCCTCCTACCTTCCATTGAGGCCCACATGGAGACCAATGAGGAGATGGCTGAAGGGTGTTCCCCAGTATATATCTGGAGCCCAGATCTGTCTTCCCATCTCCTTCCCTGGACCCTCCTCCAGGATGACCCATGGGCTTGTCAATCCTACAGGCTCTCCAGCTGGACTTTCCATCTTTCACCCCAGACTTCACCTCTGCTTCCCATATCAGCAAAGGCACTGCCAGCATCAGGTGCCAAGACTCCACCCTTCCAGGGTCTTGTCCTCCTCCCTCCCATCACCACCCCTCACATCCCTTCTCTGATGTGAAGTGTTTGACTTCATCAATCTCAAACACAATGAATGGCTTTGCTGGGCCTCCCTGGGATTGGCCTCCTGCTTTGGGCCCTAATACACTCATACTTTGCAAGGAAACAGCGGGATTCAGTCAATCCATAAAAGCAACTGATTACTAGCTTGTTAGAGGCATGTATTTATTTTGTTTTTCATGGGTTGCCTTGGTGATTTTCCAGTAACCAATTGTTTGACTGTTCATAGCCCTTTTCTCTAAGCTGCTTTCTTTGTGTATGCATGGCTTCTGTGTCAGAAATGACACCCAAAGCCACTGGCCTCCCATGGGCCCCACTTGGGCAGACCCAGAACAGGCAGACCGGGTGGGCCTGTTGGAATAGGGGCTTCCCTATCAGCTGCCCGTTTGATTGGTTTCTGTGAAAGCTGAGACTTATTTATGAGAAGAGTGGTCCTGTCCATATGACTACAGCTCTACCCTTCCTTTGAGGTTTTTGGAAAGGAAGTCTGGGAGGAATCTGGTCTTTGATTTCCTCTTGGCCCGCATGGCCTACCCTCTTCACAATGCAAAGAGAAAAGATCAGGAACCAAACCTCGACCCTTGCCTGTGAAAAGGCTGCTGTTTCGCATTCCTAAAAGAGTTGCTGATATCTAGAAGCAAACAGTCAGCTGAGAAACGATTAGGCTGAGGCATGCTCTGGATTTCCATTCCATTCCTTTTTAACCGCCTCAGTGCCCACTGAACTGCAAGCCCCTGGAGGTGAAATTGAACCCAAGGATTTCCCCAGCTATCTGGAATGAAGCTTTGTCTTCTATAATTAGAGTCCCAGAATGTCAGGGCTGCAGGGGCCCTTAAGATCAGCTGGCCTGTCTCCATCATGAGACTGACAGCAGGCTAGGAGGCCCAGCTTGGGACCCACCTCCTGCCTCTTTCCCTGCCAGGGCCCTTCCTGCTACACCTTCTGCCACTAGTTTTTTTTTCTGTGGACACAGTGGATGCTCAAAAGGTACCTGGTAAATGGAATCGGAGATCTTCTGCCATCTCCCGGTGGGTGAGGCTGTGCATGCAGTCAGTCTTCCCAGTAAGTGGATGTCAAATTTCTTTCTCCAGAACCCAATACCTGCAGGAAAACACACAGCACTGCCACCTGGCTTTGAAAACTCTCAGTGATCTGGTCCTAACTTTATCTGACACCATTGTCATCGAATGTCCTACATTCCTCTATGCTGGACAACTCTGTTCCCTGAACACACCATGCAGTTTCCCCTCCCTGGGCCATCACTTCAGCTGTTCCCTGAGACCAAAAAGCCATTTAACTACAGCTGTCCACCGAGACCCTTCTCTTTTGGCAAGGTCCAACTCCAGTATTCTTTCCTGTGTGAAACATTTCCAAAGGGAGCTCTCCTGCTTACTCCCCTAATTCACCTATTTATTCAACAGATCTTTTAATGAGTACCCACCATGTGCCAAGCAATGTTTTTGGCACAGGGAATATAGCAGCAAACAAGGCAGATAAAAACCTCTGCCTTCACGAAGCTGACATTCTAGAGGGGAAGAGAGGTAAACAAGAGAAGTGCATTATGCAGAATTTTAGATGTGGATTTAACTTCTTCTGCTTGCCCTGCATTTTCTTACCCCAGATTATCCTTATTTTCCTCTCCCTTGTGGTATGGCTACTTCATTTGTATTCTTGTCTCTCATGAGGGAGTGAACTCTTTGAGAGTACGGAGCCAAGGGCTGGTCTTTTCTGCAGTCCCCACAGCATGAGGCATTCACTCAAGGAATGTTTGTGAAATGAGTGAGTGAGTGAGCATGTGTGTGAGTGGATGAGTAAATGACTGTATGAGTCAATGGAGGAATGAATGTGTCAGTGAGTGAATGGCTGAGTGTGTGAGTACGTGTGTGTGAACGAATGGAGAATGAATGAATGAATGTATATGAGTGTGTGTGAGAATGGATGAGTGAATGTATGAATAAGTGCGTGAGTGAGTGAATAAATGAATGAGAGGGATAACTATCTAGATTCAGAACACTTGTGAGTTCTGCTTTTTCTACATGTGTAAGTTGAACGGCTTGAGCATCGGATTTCTGAGACCCAAAAGAAAAGTCAGCATTGGCTCTCACACCACAGAACAAATAAGAGGTGGCTCCAGAAACTTCAAGATGACAACTTCCTGGAAATGCTGCATTTTTGCTTCCTTTGACTGTGGACTCATCTCCAGGGTCTAGATTAGCTTACTCCACACCTGCCGCCCAGGACGTGCTCACATGCTCTCATAGCACCTTTGATTTCTTCTGCAAACATCAGTAGTACTTACAAAAAATGGCAGGCTTTTTTTCTTCTTATGGGGAAAAAACACAAACACTAAGTCCTCCCATAACCCAATTTTGTTAAATGTGTGCTTAAATTAGCTAGTTGTTATGTTACCAAATCCCTTTTAATTATTTGCTAAAGCTTTTCATATCATTTTTAACTAAGTGAATCTCATCTTAAATTTTAATTTGATTTGATGTTTAAAGGATTAAGGGAATGATTTCATGACCTAAAAAGTGAATGGCCTCTTTTTAAAAACCCAATTGGTGATGTAATTGAGTTGCAAACACTATTTTTGTCTTTTCACAACATAATCTGCTATGGGATGTTATTTTCTCAAGGGACTTGCTTCATCTGCTCTTTGTACACATTCAGTCTCTGTAAATATGCTTTTGGCTTTTCAGTAATAAAATTAGACCTGAATGCTTTGGTGTATATTAGCAGGGGTAAGAGCATAAGAGGAAGGCTGTTACATGTATTTAAATATACTAGGCCTACAGAAAAAAAGAGTGTTTACATGTATTTACAAATATTCAAAGTAACTTTTGGACATGTTTAACTTCATAGAGTTCCATGAATTAACCCACGGCTAGCTGTTTTGTTTTTTTTTTAATTTTTGTGTTTTTCATTAGTTTTGGTGGCTGTTTTTCTGGCTGCTGCTGATTTTTTTTTTAATTGCATTTTAGGTTTTGGGGTACATGTGAAGAACATGCAAAATTGTTGCATAGGTACACACCTGGCAGTGTGATTTGCTGCCTTCCTCCCCATCACCTACATCTGGCATCTCTCCCCTTGCTATCTCTTCCCAGCTCCCCACCCCCCACCATCCCTCCCCTTTTTCCCCCCAACTGACCCCAGTGTGTACTGCTCCCCTCCCTGTGTCCATGTGTTCTCATTGTTCAACACCCGCCTATGAGCGAGGACATGTGGTGTTTGATCTTCTGCTCTTCTGTCAGTTTGCTGAGAATGATGGCTTCCAGGTTCATCCATGTCCCTACAAAGGACACGAACTCATCGTTTTTGATGGCTGCGTCATATTCCATGGTGTATGTGTGCCACATTTTCCCTGTCCAGTGTATCATCGATGGGCATTTATATGAATGATCTTTGTTTTCTAAGCACAATTGCTTAGTGATTAAATCGTATGCTTCAGGATGTCCTTATGATCAAATTGTATTCAGAATGCAAGGCAGATCCAATCAACAATGCCTAAGGGGGCCTGAATATGGCCCAAAGTCTCACTTCAAATCTCAAAAGTCCAAGTCATGGGCAGTGTGTCCCTGCTCAACAGCCTTGTTAAGATGATCTTTATACCGTCAGGACTACTCTGATTGACTCTTGGGAACACAAATTGAACTTTTAGGATTGAATGACGGAAAACATACTCCACCAACTACTTTACGGGTCTCTTTTATCAAACCAGAATCACCCTTCAGTTTCTAGGCCATTTTGCCCTCTCCAATCCCCCCCCTCTTACACTGACTCATAGCAAAGTGCCATCATTTCAGCTTTCTCTTCTAAATGTCTCTTGGATGCATCGTTTCCCTTTTGGTCCCACTGCCACCTCCTTCATCCGGGCCTCCTGTGATCTCAGCCTTGGACAACTACAATGACCTCTATATTTTTTTCTCAGCACCCTGCTGAGACTTAACTTGACTCCCAAATTTATCTTCCTAAGGTGCTCATTCATTATCTCTCTCATTTCTTTGTGACATGCTGGGACACCCCTTTGCTCCTCAGGTCAGGTCCAGGCTTCTCCAATTGATTTTTAAGATCCTTACTAATCTGACTATAGCTAACTTTTACCCTTCTAATCCCTAATGAGCACAGCCTGGGTCAATAGCTGTTGAGAGACATCTGCCTGCTTTGGTTTTGATATAAGGCTAGACAAACAGACTGATGGAATAGAAGAGTGAGCCCAGAGATAGAGCCATGTATATATAAAGTTTAATTTATGACAGAGGAGACACTGCACAGGAGTGGAAGAAGGAATAGTCTTTTCAATCAATTGTGCAGGGATAGTCAGGTATCCACAGGATACAAAATGAAATAGGACTCCTATTTCATATCAACACAAAAATCAAGTCCAGATGGATTAAGGACTTATGTGTTAAAGGTAAAACTATAATGCTTTCAGGAGATCATATAGGAGAATATCTTCATGACCTAAAGGTAGGGAAAGATTTCTTAAACATGGCATGAGAAACAGTAAATATAAGGAAAAGATGGACAAGCTGTACTGTATCAAAATGAAGAATTCCTAGTTTTTGAAAGGTAGCATGAAGAGAGTGAAAAAGCAAGCTACAGACTGGGAGAAGTTATCTGCAACATGTAAAACTGACAAAGTGTTTATATCTAGAACATATTTTTTTAAATACTACAGATTATTTAGAAAAAGAGAGAGAACTCAACAGAAAAACTGTCAAAAGGCTTAACCAGTAATCTGCAAGCCAGGAAATCCAAACAGCTAATAACTGTGAAATGGTGCTAGATTTCCTAGTAACCAGGGAACTGCAAATGAAAATGACAATGAGCTCCATTACTCACTTATAAGAATGGCTAAAATTAGTAAGAGTGATGACAGCAAGTGTTGGTAAGGATTTGGAGCCCCTGGAACTCACAAGCTGAAGATGCCTGCTGGTAGAAGTGTATAATGGTATGGGCACTTGGGAAACATTTTTGTTATCTAACAGAGTTGAAGATAGCTGTCCCCAATGACCCAACAATTCCACTTTTATATGTCTATATATAGATATAGATAGATAGATGATAGATAAATAGATAACCTCAGAAAATGAGTACACGTGTGTATTAGGAGACATGGACAATGATGCTCACAGTATTCAATTTCCCTGGATCTACCTAACTGTCTGTTGTGGTAGAAATGCCACATGAAATGTGGTGCATTCATATAAAAAGTATACTATTTGGCAATGAAAACAAATATGGGTGAATCTTAAAAGCACAATATTAAGTGAAAGAGGACTGACAAAAAGGAATGTGTATGAATCATACACACACATACCTACACACAAATGAATGGTGAAATCTGAGTAAGGTAAGTGGACATCTCAATGTTTATTTTCTAGTTTTGATGTTATATTACAGTTGAACAAAATGGTACCTTTGGGGAAAACTAGGTAAACGGTGCATGGGACCTTCTTGTACTATTTTTGAAACTTCCTGTGAATCTATAATTATTTCAAAATAAAAAGGTTAAAATTTTAATTAAAAAAGAACATGCATTATTCCATAAACTTCAAACCAAGCAAAAGTAATCCATGGTGATCTGGGATGCACCTTGATATGGTAAAATACAAAGGATTGAAAGGAAGTGAATCTCATAGAAGTCAGGGATGAGGGAGGGGCTCATGACTGTGACTTGTAGAGTATGCAGGGGGCTTCTGAGGAAGCTGTCAATGCTGCATTTCTTGAGCTGGGTGATGCATTTCTTGAGCTACATTTCTTAGCTATACACACACACACACACACACACACACACACACACACACACACACACATATATGCCTTAAGCACTTTCTTCATGTGCAATATTTAACAATAAAAAAGGTTTCTTTAAAGATGTTTATGTGACAGTGCCTTGGGGATACTTTTGGACAGGTACAAGTATCCTCCATCAGACTGAGTCCCATGGGCAGTGGAGCCAAGTGACACTTCAGACCCTAACACAGGGCCCATCTCAGAGCAGGCACAATGAAGCAGGCCTGGTTGATAAAATTAGAACGACTGTCTCAAGTAGTGCTGCCTTCCATCTGCTTTTGAGGAGGCATCTGGAAAGTGGGGAAAACAGGCAGGGCACATGGCCTGCTATATAGGCTAACAACAAATGCAACACAATATTGAAAATGAGGACTGTGGTTCCAGAGTGACTGGGTTGTCCAACCCCAAGTGTTGTCTTTCAAAGGCTGTCATTTGCAGCTTAGGGTAGAGTTTGTGGCCTCCATGCCTTGAAAATATCTCTGGGGATCCCAGCTCAGCCCTGATTGTCCACAGAGGAAAAACTGCCCAAAATTATGCCTAGAAGACAATGTGGTGTTGCCTTCTAGAGTAGTGCAGTGCAGTGGCCCTCGGGAAGATTACCCATATGCTGGTGGTGTCATTCCACCACTGTGCCCTCCAGGAAAGAATCAGCTATGACTTCAGACCATGGCCACAGCCTCCTCTCACTTTATCTGTGGACTACCCACTTATCCCCCAGGAAGCTTATCCACTGAACATTAAAGTAGGCAGAAAGGACAGCCATGGTGAGTAGAAGAACTTGTCCCTCTGGACAGACCTCTATGGAATCAAAGGCTGAAAGCTGCTGTGAAATACAAAATGTAAGCATTCATGTAAGCCACTTGAGCTATTGGTAAAATGACCACAGTTACTAACTACTTCCAGACATTGGCCTATTGGGTCAGAGGTGCCTGAAAGGGCATCTGGTAAAGAGGAGGGAGCCCTGCTGCAATTTCTGGTGGGGACCTGAAATGCAATAAAAGGCTTAGGGGCCAGCCATGGAGAGAGAAAGGCCAAGCTTATGGCTTTGTGGGCATTGCCGTTGTGGGCAGAAAGAACAGCTGAGTGAACCACCTGGGTCCCCAAGCCTCTGTCCTGAAGTGGGACTCCTACCTCTAGCCCTGAATCTGTAGCCCCCAAACCTTGGAAAATACCTCTGAGGACCCTGCAGAAATTTCAGCTTAGCCCTAGCTGGTCACAGGGCAATTGCTGTCTACAACTGTGGCCACCCACCTGTTTGGGCCCCATGTGGAAGTGTTGTTTTCTGGCCATTGTCTTTGCAATTTGTACTGTTTGCTTTCTGCCAGTCAACTCATTTTCATTTTAGGGTGTTATCTTCTAAATTATTTTATGATTTAAAATTATGTTTATCTACCTTTTG